AATAGCCTACACTGTAAAAAAAATACGGTAGCAACGTTTTAGGCTTTACGGTTTTAACTTAAATTTAATATTTATACGTAATTTCATTAACTGATATAATGTTAATATACCAACCTATTGAAGTACTGAAATCTGTTTTGCACCTTTGTAATACACTGATAAGCACCAAATGCAGGTGGTGATGAAAAAGTCACATGATGAACCAAAGCCCATCACAAGTAGCTTTTAAATAATAACATATATAGAAGGTGCACAGTGTCATTCACACAAACACTAAACACCATCAGGGTAACATACATGAAACTGAAATAATGCAATAAACTTTCATTTAACAATATTAGGTGTAACACACAACCCTAATATACAAAACTGATACGAAAAAACGAAGAAGAAACATAATTATTTCAACAAAAAAACATCAAATTTGAACTGTAACGCAGGGAGTTCTGGGAATGTCAATTTACGGTTATTCACTGTAAATTATACGGTCTTTTCCACTTCCAAAAACGGTATACTACCGTAAAATTAATGTCCAATACATGTAATGTCCAATACAGTTTTTCACCGTATATAGTAGGGGAATTTACCGTTAACAATTTAACAGGTTTTTACTGTAGCATTTTTACAGTCTTTTACCGTTAAATTCACAGTTATTTTTTACAGTGTATTACTTCTAAGTTATGATGTTTTTATGTAAACATCTTGCTAATATTGTAAGCAGCCTTCAAAGAACATTGTAAAATGTAGAAGAAAATAATGCAGTCCGTGACCCCTTTAAGAAACACAGAAACACGTCTTTGGTGACGGCATATGAGGTTTGGAGAAAGGCTTGTTTCCTGACAGTGTACAAATGTTGTTTGTTCTGTGAAGAGTTTCATTAGTGAGTGGGGCATAGAAGCAGAAATGTGTGATGCTGTGAGGATTGTTTTTAACGTTTAAAGACTTTCTCTGTTCAGTGTGCAAAGACAACTGTAAAACATTTGTCAAATGTTTTCCTCTCAAAGTGTCAACATTGTGGTGCTATCAAAATGATGGCCTGAGTGGCTGAAGAGTAAGGTTGAAAGGTAATTTGGAGAAATTCTTTTTGTAGTTAAAGTGAAAATCTGACTTTTCCAGGTTTTAAGCACTATAATCAGGTCCCCGGTGCATCTACCAAACAAAGAAATGTGAAAAAGATGAACCCAGTAACTTATGAGAACTTAGTTTAGTACTCACATGCTGTGACAGCCGCTTTCTGTCCGTGTGCTTCGGATGTGTGCGCTCAGAAAACCGTATATCAGAAGTTTAAACTCATATGGTTTAAAACGCATGATGCGATAAACATGATAATCAGAACCACAACATATGTTTTTTATTAGGTTCGAGCTATAATGGTGCAGCTCTGGAAAAGGGAGCGGGGAGCAGCAGCTCATTTGCATTTAAAGAGACAGGCCCGAAAAACAGCGTGTTTCTGCTTCCACTCAAAATAGGCATTTTCAAAATGATATAATAAATGATCTGAGTATTTTGAGCTGAAATTTCACAGACACATTCTGGGGACACCAGAGACTTATATTACATATTGTAAAAAGGGGCATAATATGTCTCCTTTAAATAAATGTACCCCATCAATAACTGAATCAATATTCACCTGTAAATGTTGTTGCATTCTCATTCTGGCAGCAGGGGCGGATCTAGAAAATAATGTTTAGGGTGGCAAAGGGGTTGCATGGGGTCTATGAGGGGTGGCAACACCAAAGCAAGCCCCCATACATAGTTTTTGGGGATTTATGGTCTGACAGACAAGCCGGCATACATTTGTCTTTCAAACTTTTCAATCTAGTTATTACAGTTTCTTACAGATTTTTTTTTCAACTGCTTACACACATTTTCAAAACGTTGCCTCTTTTTTTTTTAAACTTTACACACAAATCCAAGAATCGCACACACAAAATGCCTCACATCTCTTGCAAAATGAAGCACTGCATTCAAAATATCACAAACACATCTCAAAAGCAAACATTTGCAAACACCTTTGCCATAATATTAATTCCTGTTAGATTGTTGTGTGTTACATAGAGAATTGTGTGTTGTGTTTTGCAAAAAAGTGTTTTATGAAATTGAAAACGGAGTCAAAGGCCGAGAATTAGTGTATGGTTTTGCAGATTTGGTGTGTGGTTCTGGTGTTTGAGTGTCAGGTTTCAGAAATTGTGTGACAAGTAAAGATTTTGTGTGTAAGCAGTTGAAAAAGACTGTAAATGCTTACACACAATTCAAATACACAGATGACTTTCCTGCGCAGTGAACACTGAGATCAATAACACTGTAACAAGAAAACTCTTACTAGGATTCAGGAATTATTTTTGCAGCTCAATGCCTATTACATTATACATAAATTAAATTACAGATACAGATGTATAATTCAGCAATGAACTTTTGGGGGGAAATCCTTTTAATTTTACTACTGTAAAGTAATCTTACAGTAGATGAAAAGCACTAGAAAAGTTCAAATACCAAAGAATTGTATGAACTTGGCATGCACCACAATACAGTACAGTAAAAAATAAAATAAAAAAATAACATCAAAATTTGTATGATTAGACAGAAGCTATACATATTACAAGGAAGTCCTTTGGTGATGGCATATAAGAAAAAAAAGCCTGTTTCCTGACACTACACTACATTTTCTACTGTAATTAATACAACAAGAATAGGAAAGTGATGCTGTTGTATGTTGTATGCTGTATGCCCAACTGGCCCAATGAAGGCATCCAATGGTGGCTGAAGGATTCCTGCGCATTCGGTCTAATCTGACTAAGGCTGGGTGATAAATGATATATCAAGATTGTGATAAAATATAGTTTGTTTATGATGATAAGCTTTGGACATTTTTTCTCAATATGGATTAATCTAACAGTCTATCACACAGCAAATAAAGGCGACAAAAGCCAGTCAGTGATATACGATGGAAGGAACGTGTGAAATTTGAGTCAACATGCACTGTTTGTATGGAAGGCAAACAGGGCCAAAAGTCTTTCAATGGAACACGTGAAAATTGACCATGTCAACACACATCCGGATTAACTTGAGGGATAGACAGGGCTGAAGCCCCAGGGCCCGGAGATGGAGGGGGCCGGTGATTGGCTATGGAGGAAATATTGAATAATTGATGCCAATAGACCTAGACTGATTGGCATCAAGAGCACCCGAACATTTCCCAGTGGGCTCATCGCTGAAACCTGACCCACGCCCCCATATATTCAGCGCTGCAGTTTACTTCAGTGTTTTACGTTAAAGTTAGTGCTCGACACATTCAAGATTCATCCTTGACCAGTGTTTGCACTATTTCTCTCCAAAAGGTGTCCCGAGTGCAAATCGAAGCCTCGACAAATGAAACACTTTTCAACACATTAGGCTGGAAAGATTCAAAGCTTCATGAAGCTTCATCTTGCCACCACCACTAAATGCCCTCTGGCTCAACCTGCATCAGTAGCCATGCCCACACCATACACTCTCGCTATTGGCTGCATGAAGGTATGAAAATACATAGTTTTACAGGCTGGTAGGCCAAATGCATGGATTGGATGACCATTTTATGGTCCTGAGCCTTCTACATTTATGTTTTTATATTTAGACCACTTTAATTAGCCTATTGGTTGCTATTAGGAAGTGAAGAGACATTCAACCAGTATAACAAAAATGCTTTTGGAAAAAATGAGGCTACCTACCCCACCTTTAATCCATGTTCATTTGGACCATGAACAACATGTACTGCAAACACAGTATGTGTTTCTTCTGCACACTGGCTTATGGGTTTATCTCTTTCTTTCAAACTTTTAATTAAACTGAGGATATTAGTGTCTGTTTTATAGATTCATATAATTTTATTTCAGGAATAAGACATATGAATGACCCTGTTAGTGAGAATAACCTTAGGCAATCTTTTGGTTTTGACTGCTGTGTATAAAGTTTTTCCCTGTGTGTTTAAGATTTTGGGTAGTATTTGATTTTATTTGATTGTGGTATTTGATGGCTGAGTAACCTAATCTGAAAAATTAAAAAATCATATAAATTTCTGTTAAATTATATTAATAAATATGGGTAACACTTTACAATAAGGTTGTATTAGTTAACATGAACTAACAATGAACGACTCATCTGTTTAGCATTATTTAAACTTTGCTCATGTTAACTTAGTCATATACTAATACGTTAGTTAATGCATTAGTTAACATGAACTAACAGTGAACAATGCTACTTTTCAGGATTACTTAATTGTTTGTTAATGTTATATTACACATATACTAATGCATCTTTTCACATTAACTGCTTACTTAGTTAATGTTGGTTAATGCATTAGTTAACGTGAACTTACAAGGAACTATGTCTGTAAACTTTATTTAATGTTTCACACAAAGGATGAACAATGCTAACTCAACATTTGGACACTGATCTGGGCTATTGGTAAACTTAATTCTAAAAGTAGAAACCATCTGAACATCAACTGATATGTTGTTCATGTTTGTAGACTGTTTATTAACATGACTTACCACTAACAAAGCATTTACTAATGGAATTTGTGAACAATTTGGGAAAATGTACACTAGTACTAGTAAGAAAACTATAGTTTTATGATCTGTCTGGAAATGCAGTGAATACAACCGATATACGTGGTGTTTCTTCTCTTTATGGCAAATTCATTCTCCTAAAGTCAAATTTTGTGCATGATGCAGTGTTGGTCAGTCTCTGACTACAACAGAAAGTTACTGACATTATTGACACCTATCACACACTTTGGTCTATTAATGTCTGGAACAAATGCAGATTAGTTAAGGATGATATACAGCAAGCATAACAATATAATATAGACTCATCCTGCACTACAGATTTTTTTTTCTAATCAAATGTAGTCTAGAAGGAGAATGTCCCTTCAATTTATGCAAATAAAGCACCAAGCTGCTAGAATGGAAGGCACATACTGATCTGTTTTAATGCTATATTTATGGTTATATTCTCATACAGATATGCTAGAAAACATTGATCAATAGCAGAGTAGAGCAGAGACAACAACATCAATGTAAAATAAATGCAGGTCAACAGCAAACTCAATACAAGCATCTTGACTAAGAAAAACAGACTGACTATTTCTGAAAGTATACAATCTGATGTATGTATTTATATTTAGCATTTAAAAAACACTGTTGAATTTTGTGTTGTTCATTATCATCAGATGTTTCCATACATGTTGAGTTCGTCCATGTTGGTGTATTCAGCATCAGAATCATGGCCCTTAATATATTTGAGGAAAAAACAAGAATACAGAGGTCAGCCAACAACATACAGTATTTCATGACAGCATTTGAAATCATAGATTCAGAATATGTATTTGACTGTTTAATAATGGCATACTCACGGAGTAGGACTTTGGCTCACTGCAGTGCATGGTGAAATATAATTTAAAAAAAATCACATAAATATCTGCTTTCATTATATGATGATAAAGAATTTTTGAAGTGGTAAAGAAACTTGAACACTGCTTAAAGACTGAATATAATGGTCTTATTTTGCTGTGTAACAAATGTGGTTCAAATGCACTTGTACCTCTTTGGTGACGGCATACGAGGTTTGGTTCTGCGAAGAGAAAAGTTTTATTTAAATAATATTATTTTAATAGGCCTAATTAAGACTCTGGCAAGCATTTGTGATGTCATAAATAGTATAATGTGTGTATAATTTCTGATGGTAAATATCCCATCTGAATGTGTAAAGCCAACTATTAGTAAACCATTTGTTGTTTGATTTTCATGATTGTAGTGTTACTGCTTTGGTGCCAACATTTAAACAAGCCAGTTACTTTGTCTTTTTTATTATTATTATTTTGCAGCGCCAAGAATCAGCCACTGCACATAATTTGAATTTGAATTAATAATCATTTTAAACAAATCAGCTAAAGGACTGATTCTACGGCTCACTCATAAATACAGTCATTTTACTGTCTTGTTTCTGACAGATATGTTGTTTTTAAACGAATTGGCTGAATGAATGATTCAATGACAATCACTTGTTTTTTTCCCCAATGGACAAATCTTTGAGCGAATTGTGTTAATTAAGACTCTGGCAAGCATTTGTGATGTCATAAATAGTATAATGTGTGTATAATTTCTGATGGTAAATATCCCATCTGAATGTGTAAAGCCAACTATTAGTAAACCATTTGTTGTTTGATTTTCATGATTGTAGTGTTACTGCTTTGGTGCCAACATTTAAACAAGCCAGTTGTCTTTTTTATTATTATTATTTTGCAGCGCCAAGAATCAGCCACTGCACATAATTTGAATTTGAATTAATAATCATTTTAAACAAATCAGCTAAAGGACTGATTCTACGGCTCACTCTTACAGTCATTTTACTGTCTTGTTTCTGACAGATATGTTGTTTTTAAACGAATTGGCTGAATGAATGATTCAATGACAATCACTTGTTTTTTTCCCCAATGGACAAATCTTTGAGCGAATTGTGCGGTGGCCCAGTAGTGTGCAACACAACAAAATCTCCACAACACAACGCATAGAACTAATTTCATTGTGTTGTGCTAATTATGCTGTGTTGTGGCTTGTTTCCATTCTGTTGTGCTAATTTAGTTGTGATGTGGCTTGTTTCCATTGTGTTCTGCTAATTTAGTTGTGTTGTGGCTTGTTTTCATTGTGTTGCGACTTGTTTCTGTTGTGTTGCGGTTTGTTTCTGTTCTTTTGTGCTAATTTCATTGTGCTGGGGTTTGTTTCTGTTGTGTTGAGCTAATTTCGCTGCGTTGGGGTTGTTTCTGTTGTGTTGAGCTAATTTTGTTGTGTTGCAGCTTGGCTCCATTGTGTTGTAGTTTGTTTCCATTTTATTGTGCTAATTTCATTGTGCTGGGGTTTGTTTCTGTTGTGTTGAGCTAATTTCGTTGTGTTGCAGCTTGGCTCCATTGTGTTGTAGTTTGTTTCCATTTGATTGTGCTAATTTCATTGTGTCGTGGCTTGTTTCCATTGTGTTGTGACTTGATTCCATTGTGTTGTGCCTTGTTTTCATTGTGTTGTGCTAATTTTGTTGTATTGCGGCTTGTTTCCATTGTGTTGTGCTAATTTCATTGTGTTGTGGCTTGTTTCTGAAGAAGAGTCACTGAAAAGACAGGCTAACAATGTGTAACTAGATGCCACTTGTTAGTGCATTAGGGTTATTTGTTCTAGTAACAGAGTAAATTAACAGTAAATCCTCTTATATTTTACATTTCTATGTTGTACTTACCTGATTTCACTCCTGTTTTCCCTGTTACTCCAACCTGCTCTTCCCTCAGACCTACTGAATTGCCTGGTGGATAAATTTAAAATTTCGATTTGAGACCAAATATGAGACAAAGAATAGATAAAATATTATTTAAAAAATTATAAAAAATAAAATTCTAACCTTGAAAATCTATTCCAACGTGATCTCCTACATCAGAGAATAAAATTGTTAGTGTTTTAGAAATGTAAACATTGTAGTCTATGTTAATCAATGTTTTTTTTTAAGAGAATTAAATTAATGTCATACATACCTCTTTTCAAATAGTGTTAATGAACCTTGCATATCATTAAGAGGCTGTCTACAATCAGTAATGACAATGTTGAGAAGCTAAAAATGCTCATTAAAGAGAAATACTTACTTCTAAACTTTCCATTTATGAAGAATTAATGTTAGCCTAAAGTAACATACACACACAAACAGTTACCGGTGCCATTTCTTGTATACGATGAATGCGGTAATTATGCAAGTGAGGAGAAACACAAGTGTTGGAGCTAGTATGTAAAGCCCAATAGTCTTCCGTCCAATGTGTGTCGAGTCTGCTTCTTTATGGACACGGGCTAAAACATTTAGACAATATTATTAGCGCACAATTTAAATGATAATAATGATCCAAAAAGCCCATGACTTCAAAAATCCACATATATGCATAAATCACTTACACTGTGCATTTTTGTCTTTTGTAGCTGTCACTGTTATGCCACCATGATATGTTACAGAACACTCAATGGTCAAGCTTTCTGCCTTTACAACACCTGTGCATGTCAGAGTGATTTTCCACAGGCCGTCTTTAAAATGCTCATTGTCTATTTGATCAGATCCTTCTATACCGTTCAGAGTGATGCTTGGTTTGCTGTATGGACATGTGTGGAAAGCTGAACACACTACTGTGATGGTTTCACCTGATCTTTCACCTCCATAAATATTGATGCTGGGGAACTGTGGATCTGCTACAAATAGCAGAAATGTCACAATTAGGCAACACACTCTCACAACTATAGGGAGTCAAGGAAATTTGAAGAACAAAGTATTTATGTACCATCAACTAGAATTGTAGAAGTGACATCATAAAATGCGTAGGTGCTCTTTCCAACAGTTTCAGGGTCAATCCATGTGTATAATTTCTCTCCATGATGGGATGGTTCCACATTTTTGATCAGCAGACTGCAATCCCAGCTTGAGTTTCCATATAATTCAGTATTTCCTTTAAATTTCTCAATGACATTATTTGGATACCATGGATCGTAAACTAAAGGATAACCTTTAGAGACCCACTGATACCACACAACTCTACGTGGATTTGCGGGTGGGTATGCCGTGTAGCTGAAAGAACATGGTATAACCAGACAAGAACCTTTGAGGCCATGAATTTCCTTTGGCATTCTCACTTCCCATGCCAAAACGTCATACAGCAGAACAACTGTTGGACAAATATTGGAGAACATTAATGGCAGAGTATGTAAGCTGTCTTATTTATATTCAGCTTTATAGTTTTATTACTACTGCTATTATTATTAGAAAAATATTACTGTACGAAAAATAGCAAACTAAAACATATCTGTAGATTTGCTAGTATTAGTATTTGTGACTGTTGCAAACAGTGTTTCAAGGGTGTAATTAACAATGAATTCTTAATTCTGGTCAACAGTCATTTGAATAATTTAAGTGTTATTGACTTGCTTCCCCATATGTTTTTTGGAAATATTGGAATTTTGCTGCACTTTTACGCATGTAGCATTTATCATTCTTAAGTTAATGATTTAATTTAAATGGATGAATAAATGTACAGCGGCAGAAATGCAAATAATAAAGAAAACAGAGACTATACCTTGAAAAAGTAAATGAAGTAACAAATGTCCTCTCATATTCCCGATTGCCGTTTTATAAGGTACAGATGAAATGCAAATAGCAGGCAATATAGCATTCTAACAAGCACTTCTTAAGAATTGAAATGTCCGTTTAGGGAACTTAACTGGTATACCAATTAAATTGCAGGGTTTTTTGTACTTGTACAGCTGTTCCCTGTGACCAACATAATCTACCATACAGAGAAGTGAAAGTGGCTTCAAAATAAATGAGATTACTCATGTATTTTGCTTAAATTTAACATAGCCTATCATTTCCTTGTTTTCTACCGTTCTTGGTCCCCTTCTCAAACAAATGGATTGGGTAAGAATCTAGTATCAAGCCATTTCCAAAACTGTTTATATTCCGTCCATATCTTGAACTATCAAAGGTTATGGCTATCTGAAGTTGGCTGATCACCATGATTTTCAGGAACATAATTTTGAGAAAAATCGGTTTAAAGAATGGCAATGAAAATAAAAGCACAAGTCAAGTCTGCTTTATTGTCAATTCTTCCACATGTACAGCACATACACACAGAGAATTGAAATTGCGTTACTCTCAGACCCCTGGTGCATACAGATAGCATTAACAGTAGAACATAAATACAGATAAAATATAAAATACAGCTATACAAATAAGGTCAAATGTAAAAAATATATATATAAAGCAGCA